ATAATAATAATAATAATAATAATAATAATAATAATAATAATAATAATAATAATAATAATATTTTTTGTAATGTTTTCTGAATAAATATGAACACATTGGTTCGAAAAGAATGTGCTGATCAAGTCACATTTCTATAATTCAACAGTCACCTTCCAATACCGGTATCGTCGGTGTTGAAAAACGAGAGCGGTATTAATTAATGTCGATCTCGGTATTGGGAAAATCGTCGATATCTCGCAAACACTACTTGTGCATGATCAGTTCTTTGTAGTCACTTTATCAAAAGATACGGTACTACCGCGAACCAATAACGACGTCGTCCCATTTCAAATTTTCGATAAATTGACACTCACGATGAGTTTTTTTCGTTATCACTTTTTTATTTCGCGAATTTGGTTTTTTTATTTCTCTGTCTGTGGTTTTTTCTTTGCTTTTTTTTGGTAGTGTTGTGGTGAAGATATTGATTAGCGATGTATTGATCCACCCGAATGACGACATCCCTTTTTTCGAGCTCAAAAAATTCAGTCAATTCAGGTTGTGAGAGTTCTGTTTTCTTTTTCTTGACGTTTCAGTTGTGGTGTTTATCGGGAGCGATGTTTTCGTATAGAGCAGTTCAGCAGTGATAGAGAGTTCGAAATTTGTTCAAATTCAATAATTGTTCAAAATTACTCCATATTCCAAATGCAACGGTTGTCCTTCGAATAAAAAAATTCACTTCAAAATAGAAAAAATCATTTTTAAGATAAAATGTCCGAAGTAAATACGACTCCAGAAGTCGTACCGAATGTAGTGAATGATAAGAATTCAACACAGAATACCGCAGAAAATGATGAGATTAAAGGAGGTTTGTATCGTTCAACTTAAATTAACGTTCCGATCTCATGAGCGTGATTTCAAAACTTTCAAATCCAGTTGGATCTGTTGCGAGAATTTTGAATTGTAATCCAAGTTTGAACATTAAGTTACAAGTAAGCAGTTAATGGATAGGTTATGTGGTTACGCAATCGCTAACCACTGAACCGTCCGTCTTAAATTCCGCGGTTTCCACCTCATCGCTCAGTGTTCAATACGTCCATTTGCACACCACGAGCAAATGCCCAGAGTTCAATGGTTGTGAGAACAACTTTGGGTAACACCATTTAATTCTTGAACTCTAAGCGGTGCAAACTACAGCTGTGCATTAACTGTTTCGCAGATTACCGAAACTTTAAAATTCAGAAGAATCCTTGAAACAAAACAATGATAAAGATAAAGAATCACCGGATAAAATCATCACAAAAGAGGTCATCAACGATAATGATAACGATAAAGAAGCGACCGATAATAAAAAAGTGGAGAATGAAGAGCAGAACAATGAGGTGAGTGCAATGCGATATCATGTCCCAGGGCATTCACTTGACCTAATGATCTTGAGACACATTTCCAATACAGTGACCTTCAGTGTCTTTTATCAGCAGTTCAATGCACCTTTATTCCCATTCTGTCTCTCGAATTTCATTCTATCAAACCTTAACTCCCAGTTATTTCTGGTTAGTTTTTTCCCGAGTTTACAAACAGCTAAATATTCACATTTACAAGGATTCTATTCGGATTCAAATATTGAACCGTTCGAAGTTTTTTTATCCGAAAAAATTTCTGAATCCATCTGTAAACCACCTGATTAATTGGATGTGAAAATGCAGTGAACGGTTAAAAAATGTTGGAAACTTCACGAAACTGAAATCATCGATACCATTTTCACTGAACTGAATTTTTTGTATCAGTATTGATGATTTATTTATTCAAGGTCAAACCACAATCACCCTCCCAACAAATTCAAGATTGTCGCAAAACATCTGAAGGCGACAGTGAAGATGATGCAGCGGCGCCGAAACGTCGTCGAACCACTTCGCTTGTTGCCGATTCACCGTGCTCAAGTGAGAATTTCAGCATTTTCATGCGAACATCCTCTGAAGTATTGTAGTATATTATCGTTTGCGTAACTGAATACGGCCATTGCAAACGCTCGAAATGAAACGATCGTTCATTTTTCCGGTGTTCCAAAACGCACAAAAAGTGTCGACAATAACGACGTCGAAGAGGTGATGCGTGAAAGGTGCATAGCAATGCTGCTCAAATGCCTCGGTGAAGGTGAAAAAGCCGAACAAACTGCGAAAAATGTAATTTATCCCACTATCAGTTAAAAACGTGCGGCTTTATGTGAATGAAAGTTTAAAAATTGTGTACAAAAAACAAATGAGAAGAGATGATTCGCCTTGAAGTAGTCGAATGTGATTGAAAGAATGGATGTGAATGTTTGATTTCATGTGATATGATGAGTGCGGACCACAATAAAACAGTTTAGAGAATCAAATAAAAACGCTGTTTGTTTGGTATTTCGAAAAAAAAATTATCAATTCATTTTTGATGATATTTTTTTGAAATAAGAGTCGATTTTAGATCGAATTGGCGATACATGAAGAGATCGGTGATGCGAACGATCACCGTTACCGCTCACGCGTACGATCACGAGTCGCAAATTTGACCAGAAACAAAGCGATTGCTAAAGAGTTGGTCAACGACAGATTATGTCCTAGAAAGGTTTTCAGGCTTATGTCATTTCGATTTATTTCTTCTGTCGTACTGCTCTTCGTCTTAGTTCTATTGAATTACGAGCCAAAATATGCGCTATGGATAAGAATGCTTCTTCACTCACTGATCATTTATGCTGAATGATGGTTTTCGTTGGTTTTGGTTGATTGAAAGACGTTATGATTGCGTTCTTTACAGTTTGCTAAGATGAGTGCCGAGGAGTTGGCAACTCCGCAAATGAAAGAATTAAGAGATCATCTTTGCGAAGATACGATGGAGGAGCACATGATGGGCGAGAAGGAGAAGGTCGGTTTCGATAACATCAAAAAGAACGACACTGCTGTCGAAACGGAGTAATTATCCTTCCGATTCATTGTATATTCCATTGTACCGTTCATATTTTCTCATTATTGTACACACTCAAATCGGTTATTATCCATTACAATTGCTTATTTTCTACATTAATATACAACTCTTCTGTATTCAACAGTAACTTCTGCGATGACATAATCATTAATGTATTGAAAGATATCTCACTCAAAAATACTTGTAAAGTGCTCAACAAAATTTCTAAAATAAGTCATCAAAAAGTATAAAATCTCAACTCTGCGTCTAATTCATACCTCAATGTATATATATTTCTTAACCGTAATTACCTCTTACAACTTCTTCTCTCAGTGTCTATTCCAATTCTGCAGAGAATATCTTCACTTTTATCTTATTATTACGTTTATTTTACAATGTCTTAATCGATGAATTCATTAAATCCCATCCAATGATAACTTCATCCATTGTTCATTAACGATATACGGATCAGTTAACTAATTTTGTTCGAGAAACAGTTTTTTCGACCCAGAAGTCTATCTCAAATTCTTCTTTTTAAACACTTTCTCGTCTTTTTTTAAATAGTCTTAATCTACGGTTATGTGCTTCATGATATTCAATATGATATTGTCACGTTACGCTGAAAACCGCAGTTTTGTTGTACTGCACAGTTCAAGTATTTTCTGAATTTCAGTCAAAAATTTCGACATTTTATCAATTTCGACTTATTATTTGTTCAAGTACCAGTTGTTAAGCAGTTGTCGTTATTGTTGCCAACATTAATAATGTTCCTTAAAACTATAATATCGTTTGAACAAACTTTAACGTTCTTATAATACAGATTTTCGATGTAATTTAAAAAAGTTAAAAACACCGACGAAAATAAATTGCTTTCACCATGAATCGATCAATTTATTGAGGTTTGCAAAATACGAAAACACCCCCAATGGCTGTATTCTAATTTACTACAGTCCAACTAAACATTATTTGATATTCTCAATATAACTGAGCAGTCCTGACAAGCAATCTTCAACGTTTAAAAAAAGGACAACGAGTTGTGCATTTAACAACTTATTTGTATGACTAGAATATAGTTACTGAAAATGAAGATATTTTCGATCGATTCACTAAAAAATGAAATGATTCAACAACAATCGTGATAACTTAACAATTGCAATGTTCATAACTGATAAGTGTTCGAGTTCTGCGTGTGTGCGTCAAAGATGAGCGTATTGTTGACGGGTATGTACTGGTGAGTGATCAGCTTAATGGCTTCTTGAGATGCGATTCCTCCGATCAACGATGCGATCACATGCAGTTCTGCACATCCATAACGACACATCTCATCAATCACGTTCTCGCGGATCTTTTCCAACACTTCATTCACATCTACCACCTGCAATAGATTCACTTCACAAATCCATCGTCATTTGCTTTAATATATACTATCCTCTATCTAAACAATAGCAATTTCAAACAGTTCCATTCACATAGAAGCTTGGATATCATTGAAGCATTCAACTTTTTATGAACTTCTTTCAATACCGACTAAAAGGTTTCCTGATTCTAAAGCATCTCGAAAGATCCAAATAAACCAATCAACAATGAAAAAATTTATTAATAATGTGGAAGTGAGCATTATTTGATGGATAATCTGAATACCTGACAATCTGTAATCAGTCCCACTACTCTCGATTTCAGATCGTGCGAATCGATCGTGCACGGTACACCATTTGTACCAGGATAACGACCCTTCTCGGAATGAAATCTAAAGTTTGATTTCATTTTTTCCCGCAATAAACCCGCGTTTACGAGTTATTTGCAATTAATCACTCAACAGAAAAATCGAAGACATTAAAAGAGAGATGGAATCCGAACGAAAAAACAAAAAACATGTAATGGACTGATCAATAAAAGTCATTTTTTTACAATAGAATCAAACGGAATTAAAAAAGCCGTTGAAATGAATACCTATCCACTGCCCTCAACAATATGTACCAAATCGCCGGCGGAATTTGTGGTACACCTGTTATTGGATTTGGTGTTAGATCTGCATTTCTTATATCGCACAGAATATTCTTAAAATATTCATTCAACAGTATGGCAGTATCATGATTTGCATGTATTTAACAAACAAACATTTTAATTGTGAATGAATTATCATCATTATTTTCAATAACCATCAATAAGAATGTCTCACCTCTAATTTTGATTCAATTTCTTGTGAAATTGTTGTACCGTGCTGAACAGATATCATCGAAGCATTTCGACAAAAGAATTCGCACTCCGAAAACGCTATTAAATCCCTCGACAGACCCCTCTCCTTCAAGATCTCTTGCAAATACCCGAAAACCTTCAAGATTTTGCTCGTCATCAAGCTATCTTATCACCTCCTATTTGAAAATCAATTCACGTGTATCTTAACAATGCAACACACGATCGCAATAACACATTTCTATTGTGAAGATCAATTTTACACAAAGAAATGTGATCGAATAAGTGATTCTTCCTATAAAGAAATGCTTTTAAACAGTGAACAGTGAGTTCGAAACAGATTTGGTGATTTTAAAAAACGTATGGGAATAATAATAATAATAATAATNGATGGTAATCATCGAAGAACGAACCTTCTCAGCATGACTATTCGCATATTTCCGATAAAGCGATGCGATAGCAATATATCGTTGTGAGTCACTAACCATATCAGGTAACTGACCTGTTACAGGCATCACCTTTTCAGACAATACAAATCGTTTTAGTGCTGACACCAACAGCCAAAAGCTTGACGATTCATCCAGTCGTTCACATCTTTCATTTTTGAATAACTCATGTACATTCGACGGAATCTTAAATCCTTTTATTTTTGAAATTTGAGTTTATTCATTCATTGAATATTTCATTTAAGTGATCATAAATAATACATTCCATGAGGCATTGAAGGGCTGAGCAGAAGCTGACGCTAGAATATTCGAATGGAAAAAAATCTCTTTTGTACCTGACTGAATATATATAAGAGGGAAACGAAATAGACGAATTTGTCCGCTCAACTGAATGGACAGGTAGCGTTATTGATTACGATGAAATAAGTGAATAGATGGAAACGGCTTAGTAAATGAGCAGATATGAACGAAGGAGTGACCGTTGTGCTTCGCATAGATCGTGCTAACGCATTACGTCCCTCGATGAAATTCTCTTCATCCAACGAATGTGTTTCTGGATTTGCTCTTCGGAGAGACATCAGAACGCTTTCATAACTTTTCCTTTTCTTATACTCATCGGGGAATGCTTCTTTATCGTGCACCACTTCTTGTCGCCAAATCTTCAGCGCTTTCAAATAAAGAAGCAAATATGGAATGTGCGAATGTTCCTCATAATTCAATGCCTCCAAATCGATCGCATCCACCATTTCTTCCAGTTCAGCGAATGGTGCATCTAACCTAAATTTCAGTCACGCTTAAGATCCATCAAACGATAAAATTGAAAAAAAACAAACATTCACTCGATTTGAAATGAAGTTTTTGATGATGAATTTGTCAACACCATTATCAAGTGGATTTCGCTTGACATTACGCTTCTGTCAAATAAACACTTACATATTTACTTTTTATATTCAGTTTGATTATAATTGAACATTTTCATTTATTAAGCGCTTCGAATGAAATATTCAGTAATGATAATAATCATAAGAGAAAAAATCGAAAACTCATCTAATGGTGGATGAGAATCAGAATTTTTTTTGCATCATAATACAAACTAAAATTCTCGATAAAGTCAGTAAAGAATAACCTCACATCAGGTTGTACGTTCTCCGAATGCGAATTCATAATTGTGTGTTCTTTGACACAAATACGAATATATCCAACAAAACCGAATACTCTGAAAACACTCAAAGAAAAAACCTCAGCGATCATTTTCTCAAAAAAACCCAAATATCTAAATTAACCAAAANGTATCTGAAGTGAACATCTCGCAGCACCACTATCATATCAGTGAATGTTCAAAAACGACACAACTACAAAAGAAACTAAGTTCACCTGGCATGCAAAAACGGTATATTGCAATCGAACAGAAAATCACTGATAACAATGGCATCTCTCTCTCGAAGATTCGTCGCGATCACAATCGCGAACCGTTTCAGCATCTCCAAATGACCATCTTCCACGAGTTGTTCCACGCTGCGAGTATCGTACTCGCATCGTACCGACGCATTCAATTCCTCAAATAACTATCATTTTGCTTTGACTGATTGCACCTTATCTGAACTAATCGTAAGCTTAATGGTATCACAAAACAAGATCAGACATTCAATCGAAAACTTCATGAGCATTCACATGGGAGTTGAATATCAAAACATTGCTATAATTCAAGTGTTGCGTAAATGAATTATAAAAAATTTACTTTCAGCCATTCGGTTGTAACTTTGGCTCTCATTTGACCCAGTTGTTGCTGTTCAATGAAGAAATTATTACCAACGTCTGGATTTGTAACAAATGTGGAATCGATAACAAAAACCGATTTAATTCCAGCTAATATTAAGCTCTTCAAAATCTCAGTCGATAACGCCGACGAACCGATCATGCAAACGGATGCACTCTCTATCGACGACTGACCTTGGTCGCCCCACAAACGTATCTGACGATCGTAACGGACCGTTTGCATCTTCAACAACTCAACTTTATCGGTCAGCATTTCGAATGACATCGCAATTGCTCTTGAAAGCAATGCGCATTCAAAAGAGAATTGGATAACAATCGCACACATAACAGATGACTGCGTCATTACATCTATCAACTACACTCGCTTTCGTCACTCCTGTGCTCAGAATCAAGCGAGCCATCTGGTCTGCTCAGAGGATCAACACACTTCAAAAGCATACTAATAAATGTCCCGCATCCAGCTCAAAAATGAGCTCTTCTTAGACATTAACTGATTGATTCTATTCAAAGATTATTGGCTAAATAATTGACCAAAGATAAGAGCCAAAAAAAAGATTGCAGTCGGAAGTGATGATATGTGATGATAAGGCTTATAAAATATAAAAATCGTTTCCAGATAAAACAATTTATAAACAAAAATTTCGATAGATATTGGGCGATAATAAGATGGAAGAGACACTTTATTCATCAGCACAAAGTGCATTCTCAATTCATTGAATTAAATTTATCAAAAACATTTCCATTCAATCACACACACACACAAAATACAAATCAGAACAGCAAAAGCAACATTCAACTGAACGAAAATTTACACGTCTTCGAATTATTTATAATACAAATTGTAAACATAACAAAAAGTAAGATCATCAACATTCAGTATTATACAATGGAATCATTCGAAAAGATGATGCATATTTATGAGCTGTGCCGTAATATAATCACTATGAACACCGCTTATATATATCACTTGAATACCCACAATTAGCATTACTCACTCAATGCGAAATACACGTTCCATGATAAAAAATCCTATACTTGTAATAATATCAAACCAAGATTCATTGCGTCACTGAAGGAATTGTCGATATTAATGTTACGATCAATAATACAAGGAGAGTACATATCAGCCCGAGGCTTCACGTAACATTAGTTCATATTCGAAACAGATTCTTTAACATCGTTTGCATTGAATAATCACAACTGATGATTTATAGTTTGATATTTTTCGAAGCGGTTTTATCACTTCGAATGAAATCGTCCTTAACTCTGACATATCTCAAGAAATCGATCTCAACTAAAAAATTCGCCAACATATTTATATCGGCAGTGGTTAGTGTTAAAAGTTGTGATAATTTGCGCACATCTTCATGTTTTGCCATATAAACTAACATACAAAAATCAGTTAATAACGACACCAAATATGCAATAAGGCTACGATCTGTTGGAAATGAATCCGTACGCTTCTTCGCCAAACTTCGTAGGACTGCACCTAAAAATTTCTGTTTCAAAACCAACAGCATTAGGATACTTACTTCGATGTTTTTCTTTGTTTGACGATTATATTTATGCAATAAAGATTTAGTCAGTTAATTAATAAAAAACAGGTTAATCCATTGATAATCCATTAATACATCAAGCCCACTTTCAACAAAAGCATCAAGCCATCAACTTTGACATAACCGCAAAATTCGAAGAAATCTAACATTTCGTTGACTATTATAACCTAGAAAAGCAATCAATCAACTATTCTCATCTATTTAATCAGCTAATGTACACTGAATGATAATTTCTATTCTCAGTAATGTGAGAATGTATGCTACTGAACCAATCAAAACCGAAATTTCAATCAACTACTTCAAAAAACTACAAAATTCACATAACAAAATGATTCCTGAAAAGTTGTGAATATCAATTTCAAAAAATAATACCATTATACTGTTTACATCGTATTGTGTGTCCATTCAAATCAACAATGACATTAACACCGTCAGCTTTCCATTTTGCTGATTCTTCACGAGATACACTTTGACCAAATAACTGACAATCTTGTGGGATTCTACAGATAAACTTTGTTCAGCTGTCTCAATCAACTTTCATTTACATCTAATCATTTTCTGAACAAATGAGAACACAAAATCATTTCCAACCGCTGAAACTTTTACATTTCCGAAACTTTCATTTCTAAAATACACCAAAAATTACGCAACTCGAATGATATACGATCATGCGTTAAAAATCTATTTAAATGTCAGCATCAAAAGAACGTACATCAACAATCATTATATACGCGTAAATCTCGATGTTATCAAAAAAAAAATGTTTTCAAAAATGTTTCCTTATCAACGAATAAAAGGATAAAACTACATGAATGGGCTATCATTCCAAATGAGTCCGTGTCGTTGAACAGAAACGCGGACGAGAATCAATTTTTTCAAGAGATCCATTGCGGTGATTTGCCTCTGTTTCGACGCGCACACGGCTATCTTCTCACCACTGAACATTGCGTAAAGGATCTGAACATCAACGCAAATCACCAGCCAGTCGACCCTTCATCAATTTACATAACTATGCGAAATTCTTCGCGACAAATAATCTTGCACGAAAAATAACTAAACTATCATTAAAGCTTGATTGCTAACATTATTGAGATTAGAAATAATCGCCTTCAGAGATTCTTCTTTATCTTCGTAATCGTCCGACAACAAACTGAAAACATTTTCGAAATTATAACACCGCATTCAAGAAATAAGATGATTCGTTTTCAAAGAAATATTTCCGCTAATTCAACCAAATTTGACTAATTTCACAAACCGACTGGAGAAAACGCAATCAAACTATTTCAATTGGATTCACTGTGAAGAAATTTATTTATGTGTTGACCAGATTGAACGTTAGAGGTTACCTCAATAGATTATTAGGACAGATTGGCGGGGGCGTGCTGAAATGAGATAGTCGCAGAATTGGAGTTTGGGCACAGAACATAGCACCATTTTTCGTCGACGATGCTGCTGCCGTGCTCGGTTTATTTACAAATAATTCCCGAGATTTTGCTAACGATTTCACGAACTTATCAAATGTCTAAACTTGAAGAAAACTATCAACGTGAATAATGATAAACAATATGATAAACATGATAATTTTACTCGTGACAGAGTGTACGCGAATGAAATCACCATCTTTGTAAAACTTCTGACAGACAATCCATTTGAAACTGATTACGGATGATGTGTATAAACTATGAAAGAGAACATTTTAATTCGCATGTTCATAACAACAACAATAATGATTTTCTTAATGCTTTCAGCAGTTTCAGTGTATCATTGATAAAAAAACATGAATGTGTTCAAAAAAAGGAAAGAATAAAAGAACGTACACAAGGAGCGAGGTCGTTAATTGGTAATAAAGGTGCGTGAGGATTACCGATGGCACCGAGACACTCTTCAACATCATCGATGCGATGTCTCGAACAATTCTCTGATTTCGAGTTCGATATCGAGTTGTACGCTGCTTGAAAACGCGGCAATAAACGACGAGCCTTTAATTAGATTCGTCTTAATTTCAATCCCGTTTTTCATACTTCACCTATATTTCATATCGTTGCAACTAATAGGGGGCATTGCTTAGNGCCAATTAATAATCTTCGAAAGTTGTAATTTAGTCGCAAACAATTTGGCAGAAAATGCGAATAGTAATATTTGAGAGCAGACGTTAAATGCATAAAACCTGAATGAATTCTGCACCAAAAAATCTTTTTTTGCAGAATATTTATACAAATCTGAATATATTTTGCAACAATCTTCTTTTGCTTCAACGAATATTTGTTTCATTGGAAAACAGCACAATCAATGATTATCGCAGCATACAAAATTCAAAGCAAAACGCAACTAATTTGCGACAATAATATCAAAAGCGTAAAGCATAACACAGAAAACGTACAAAGCGAATGATAATCATACTGTTTATTAAAGCAACAATTTAAAAAGAACTAATAACCTGCACAGCAACCGATTCAATTCTGGCTACACTCGTAGGAGAGAGCATTAGATCAGAGTATAATGCGTAATAATTGTTGAATGTAGATCGTTGCATTGAGTCTGACAGATCAATCAGCTGAGATAGACGTTCCCTTAAACGAACTCGAATTAATTATTTCATTCAGCTGCTATTATTTTCAGTTTAACTGATAAACATTCATCGACACATAATTTAGACCATAATTGTAAAATTTCAATCAACTAAAATTTATTAAAACAAATGAAAATCGAACTTAAATAAACGCCGATTACACGCTAATATAGGTGAGAGTAACTGTCTTGCAACATCAATAAAAAGTTTCAAAACTGATGCAGTTGGCTTGACTGCACTGAGAAGTGCTAACGAAAGTTGTCTCTGAAATATTCTTACAATTATTCACACGAAGCAAACACACAGGCACTGAACCCCAGAGCCTTACCTAAAGCATACAAGTTGATGTCTGGGCAAATTCAGCTCTTTTAAAATCAAATATCAGACAAAGGTTCAACTCGAGCCGACAGAAATGCCATCATTTGGTAGTAGCTTTTAATCGAACGCAATTCATACTTTGGCTGTACGTGATTGTTGGATTTTAAAGTGATCTCAATGTTCTTTACTTTACAGAAACAGCGACCACGAGATAGATGGTGTGCATAATCGGCAGATGATAAGGTGGGACAATATAACCAAAATGCGTGTTTAAAAAAACGAAAATAACCTGGAATCCACGTGCTCTAATATCCAAAATAGTGGAATGATGTACACATGCATGAACAGCCATCTGTTGATTATATACTACAATAGTTGAACCACTTACCACTTCAGAACTCATCAACCAGATCGCAACACTATCAAGGTCAAGATGAGGATTCGCTGATTTCGGTATTCGATATAACGGTCTCGGTCCTTGCACCTGATTTTTGAGCAATTTTACTGACTTCAATTCGATTCGCTCATTCGCATTATCATAACATGAATTCATTCACATCCCATTTATTGCCCACACATTCATTCACTTCAGTGACGATAAATTTCCATTCGGAATTTTAAAATTTCCACTGATGTTGAATTTACAACGAGTTAACTGCCCTCACGATGATCTGCTAAATTTTTGTGAAAAACATCTTATTGTTATCAGCTATTTCTGCAAGTGGAACGAATTTAAATGAGTTAATATGTTTTGATCCCCGCTCAAAATCCTGCTAATTTTCACTCTTATCAACGAGTGCTTGAATCATAAGTCTGATTCTGATATGAGGGTCGAATCAAGAGACACAATGCCTGCATAAGTATCAACACCAGAAACTGAATAATGGATAATTTTGCAGTTAACATGATAGAAAAAGGATGTAGTGCCATAAGCTTCAGCGCAAACTCTGGATGAAACTCCTCAATCCTGCGGCTCATGCTTCAACGTAAATCCGAGGGCAACCTCACTCCCAGGGTAAGTCTCACGCGGCAATCTTCAGCCAAGAGCAATGCTCAGCCTTAAATTGACATGCTTGTGTAGCCAAACTCCATTTGACAGATAAGTTGACTACAAGCTTACCTAAATAATGTATAATGGATGCCCAAAAGCATTTTCTGGATTAACCTGGCAGAATTCGATAACAAGTAGTACAGGTTGCGTGCATGAACTGAGGCGATTGAACGGATCGACACTTTTCTGATGGCATCTTACCAGATCCGTCATTAAAAATTCACTGAAAAACAACCGTTAACTAATGCATTCAATCGGATTGCATTCAATCATTCCACGTGAACACTCAATGTACTCATCAAACCTTCTATAATACTTCAATTGCAAACTTCATCTAACAACAACCAACCGAATATACATCGCGTATTTATCGTCGGTAACGCAAGTGTGATTATTAAAAAAAGAACAAAATTCTTCCACGTTCAGATTTTACCATTTTCGTTTCGGGAGGAGATAATGAATTTGACATTTAGTTTGAAGAAAACATTTATCTTACGAAGTCGTCGTTTCTTGCATCCGTATGCAATGCACAACTAACAACTTTATCTAACACTTTAGTAGCATTATTTTACACCCTTGACAGATGGCTTGTGTGCAATCGTGTCGTGGCGTGTTTCGCTTCAAAATTCTTATATTAGGTGATATTTTTGTGGGATTAATGTTTGGAATTGTTCAGGTCGTATTTAGCAAAAGTTACACCCATATTGCCAGGTAAATTTACAGATATAGACTGGAATGACTTTCTCGGTCGTATTTTTGAGCATTCCGTTCATGAAACACGCAGAAAATAACATCGACGTTTCAGATTTTTCACGATGAGCACACAGAACGGCAAACCGCCAACCGCATATTTTGCAAGATGGGCGATTTTTGAAAAAGCCAAACGGGAAGGAGTTTGTAAGTTAGTTGCAAGCACAAAATTCTGATTACAGTTGCTTAATATTCAGGAAAGGCGAGTGCTGCTTGGTGTTGAAAGAGGTGCTGTTCAGATGGACGAATGTGATAACAGCTATCGAAAGCAGACCAAAAACACTGCAAAATCAAAATTTTCATTGCACTCAAACCAACGGTAACCATACTTTCTCATAGTAATGGATGGTCAGAAACGAAGATAAAATCCACAACCGGATTATTTCAATGGAAACGAGTAAAACGAACAATTCTTTAATAAAACAAAACAATCTGATCAGCGAATGAATACCAACAAACAAAAATAACGCACACAGTAACACTAGTCAGGTACATAATCATAAAAGTGCCTTTCTAAAAGAGTCCCTTCCCGAATCTACCTTTTATTCGAGTAAGAACCACGACATCTGCTTATTTGTAGAGTGGCACTTCTCGGCTCCTCAAAAGAAGTATCTTCACAAAAAAATTCCCCTTGTTTCGTCTAGTCACAGCAATCATAAAAACGGTAAAAACAACAAATAACAATGATATATTCGCTGATTTACAGCAGCAAATTCACCTCCTGCGATTACTGCATTGAGGTACCAAACTCGTTACCATAAAACGAAGCGAACATCCGAGACGAACAATAATAATGCATTAGGAATTATTCATTCGCTTTCGACAAGATCAGATAACCATAATAATAATAATAACATCGGGTCTTGTCACCATAAATAATATAACATAACAATAACATTCAAAAGACTGATCATATAAGATTCAACAAACAAACAGCAACACGAAAATGATTTCAGTGTTTTGGTTGATTAAGAACTCGTTATTACTACAGAAAAGAAACGAAAGGTGGTAACTATATACTGAAACAACAAATCGGATGAGACGTGTCGTGGAGAGGGAAGACAAGAAGTTATATGATACGATGAATTAGAACAAAGCTCATGAAAAGAATAATTCTTTTAATAAGATCATGTTTAATTTTGTTACACAGGATGAATATAAGCCATATGTCTGAATAACATTTCTTTTCATAAGTTCATCGTTAAGGCAACAACAACAGCGATTTGATGATAACAACGACCCTAGAATGACCGCTTCGAAGTGACAATGATGCATACTCCAGTCAGTAATCTATTGAAACGAAATAAATGTAAGAACTGCACTGCGTAAAGAATATTGATGAGACGATCGAAAAAATACTCAAAAATATCCTCTCTGATACCACGATAAAAATAAAACAAATCATTGCTCACCAACCATAACAATAATAGATATAACGCGAAGATGTGGAATGGTGATCGTGTTTGAATATCGACGATGATTGAATACAATACGAGGTATTAGAACTCTCTTGCTATCAGCTCAAATGATAAACACTAAAAACAACACTGCACCTCATGCACTAAAACGGCACAAACCCCCTCACATCAACATATTCCAAAACAAATCTACTTTGATGATGATTCAGTCGTCTCTTGCTGATCTTTATTTTCTTGAGTGTTCGATGCTGTTGTTGCGTATGTTGCATTTAAGGCTGCCTGACGAGACGGTGGTAACTGAAAGAATGACAACTTGCTAAAAAATCTATCAGCAGTATGTTGCAACAAAAATTTTATTTGCATTTCAAAAAATTCTGAACACTGAAGTACAAAATATTATCGTTGTAGAAGAAAGAAAACCTTTTTGAGACTACTTTCATAATCACCAATTATGAGATATTTTCCTAAAGAACATAATCTTATCGCTGTTACAAAACTTTTAATAAAAAAATTGCTTCCGCCAATAACCAAATGTATCTTCGCATTTTCTAATCGACCAACATTGAAAACTGTTATAATATTTGATAAGTGCAAAAATTAAACGTCAACAAAGTCAACTCACATCCCATTCACTGCTTACTGTATTCGACTGTTTGTTTGTTATGTTCTTGAGAAAGGATGGCTTATTGCTCTATAAAAGAATCAATCATCCAAAATTCCGAACTGCTCCCTCTCAGCCGCATGAATCCATCAAACATGTTCGTTATTGAAGCAAAAACAAATCTTTAAACATTCCTTGCAAAACGCACAACTAATGAAACTCAGGCAACAACTATGCACGGCTGCTCAAACTCTTTTTTTTTCAACATTTACAAAATTGTTGTCAGTTCATTATTCCAGTAGACGTCTACTAATGAATGAATAGGAGTAATAAAAACTGATATGTTATGAGGTTCTTCAAACCAGAATCAAAAGATATTCATTCCAATCAATAATTATCAATGGCAAACTTGCGCGTCATTCATCTCAATGAACTGAGAGCAAAAAAACGAGACAATTGAATCATTCTCGTTTTTCTATTACAATTAGATAAAGAGACAGAGATTCCACTTGTAATGAAGATACCAGAAAAATCATATTTTTAACTAGAGATCGTCGGGGAGCAACTTTTCAGCCGAAGAAGCGGGACCCTGTTGAGGAGCAAAGTAAACAGAAGGGGGACCCGATAAAAAAGTCGGAGAGCGAATTAGGCGAGGGGGGGGGGTCCGTGCAGGGACGCATCCGTCTGAGGCCGGAGAATAGAATTGCTGCGGAACGGGGTCCCCGTTCTCCGACGAACTGCTGCTGAAATGTTAACTAAAACCCAACTTCGCCATTTCATTCATTAATAAAGAAGCAACTGAATCAAAAATGAGTGCAGCATTGTAGTATAAATTCAGAAAATAATAATAAAAGAAGCAAAGATTACCCTCGAAAATGTCTTAAAATTACTCGCCGACGCTGAATCGCCTTGTTCTGAAATTATTTTTGAACATCAAAAGACATCACATGAATAATCAAAACCTCAAAGAATGAAGTTAATAACATAGATATATAAAATGAAAAATTAAAAAATCAGTTTGACTTTACGTAACTCATTGCGAAGTGATCCATATGTACAGTATTCTACGCACTTGTAATGAAACCAATTTGAGTAAAGAAGAAAATCAGAAAAACGTAGCAAATTCTGTTCGTAAGCAGAATCGATGTGAATGGTTTCATTATTATGTTCATTGCAAAGATCAATGTTATTATGGCTCTCATTAACGTTCGCACGCACCCTTACGAAACTGTCTCTCAGCTTTTCTATCCATCTGTTGAATGTCCTCATCATCAGTCTTCCAGAATGTTTCACCGCGTCTCGGCTCATCATCGAAATCGAACGACCCTCTCGACTCGAATCCATCCCCATAACCACCCTCTCTTCGACCACCGCCACCCCCTCCTCGTTCATTCCGTCTCCCACCGAATGCCCTACCTCTCTGTCGCTGATAACGACCACTTTTATTATCAGAACTTACTTGATAATTTCCACTGAATCTAAAAGTATTTAGTTTGATTCAAATCAATCAAACCCGCCTTCACTCTCATTTATGCCAAATACATCATATTCATCGACTGTCTGCACAAACAGAATCCTCATATAAACACCCACATGGATTACTAGAGCCATTCGCCAAGCTGTTTGATGGCATATGCTCGAAAATATTTTTGCAAACATCTTACTGAAAAGAAGTAACAACTACCTTT